AGTATTTAGCGACTGCCACCATGGTGTGTGCCATGTAACTTTAAAACGACTCCAAACACTTACACAGTTTGCTATGTTTGTTTGAGAGCATTACTGGCTCCTTTAAAGAGAAATAAAACTAGGGCCTGTACTGTGGCAAAGTAGGTTAAGCATCCCATATGGGTGCCGGCTCTAGTCCCAGCTGCTACACTTCCGACCCAGATCCCTGCTGATGACCTGGGAAAGTAGTACAAGATGACCCAAGTCCTTGAGCCCCTGCACATGCGTGGGAGACCTGGAAGAAGCTCCTGGCTCCTGGCTTTGGATCAGCTCAGCTTCAGCTGTTGCAGCCAATCAGGGAGTGAACCAGCGGATGGAAGACCTCACTCTCTCTGCCTCTCCTTTCTCTGTGTAAGTCTGACTTTCAACCAAACAAACAAATCTTTAAAAAAAAAAAAAAAAAGAATTAGGTTGTGAGGGCTCCCCACTTCATGAATTGGGTTTAGGTACCCTTCTAAAGGGCATGCTGGAGGGAATCTGTCCCCTTTGCCCCCCTACCTTCAGTCATGAGAGCACACAGTGTTCTTCCTCCCAAGGGGATAAAGTGTTCAAAGCACTATTTCCAAGCAAGAACTAAACTCTCATCAAACAATGAACCTGCTGCTGTCACCTTGATTATGGCCTTCCTAGCCTCAAAATGTGAGAAAATAAATTTCTGTTCTATATAAATTACCCAATCCCAGGTACTGTTAAAGCAACACAAATGGACTAAGACAGCTATTACAGAAAAGGAATATATAAGTAGGGAGGATTTGTCAGAGGATGGGCAGTCAGAAGACCACCACAGAGAAGGAGAAATATTAAATGGAAAAGAATTAACTAATAAAACAAAGTCCTGGGGGCAGCGTTGTGGCACAGCAAGTTAATCCACCTCTTGTGATACTGACCACCCATATGGGAGAGTCCCAGCTGCTCCATTCCATTCCAACTCCCTGCTAACGCGCCTGGGAAAGCAGTAGAAAAGGGCCCAAGTACTTGGACTCCTGCCACTCACATGGGAGACCCAGAAGGAGTTCCAGGCTCCTGGCTTCTGCCTGGCTCAGTTGTAGCCACTGCAACCATTTGGGGAGTAAACCAGTGGATGGAAAAATCAACCTCTTCCCCCTCCCCTCTCTTTCACTCTCCCTCTCTCTCTGTAACTCTGTCTTTTAAATACTTTTTAAATTTGTTTACCTAAAATAATAAAAGTGCACTCACAGGAGAAAGTTGAACTAAGGCAATGCACAGTCATACAATGAAATCTGTGTAGTCATTTAAAAGAAATATAAATAGGCAGCATGGGAAGAATTCTATAATTCATTATTTGGTTAAACTGAGATAATTATAGTGCCCCATGCAGTTGTACCCAGAGTTGCATGCAGAGAAACCCTATGTACTTTATCTTTTTTTCCCTTAATGGTGACATCTTGCAAAACTATAGTTCAACATCATAATTTTTAATTTAAAAAACTCAGAATACTATTCAAATTACATACATTCCCCTTGTGTATCCATACAATTTGTACATTTACAAAGAAGTTATACATTTAATTGCTAGTAGTTGACCCCTCTAGAAAGTATGAGAGGTTACAGAAAATGGAGGATATATGCTTTTATGTTGACTCACACTAATTTTTCCTACGAACTACTTCTGGAATATAAAAGGTAAACAAGCGGAGAGGTTAGATTTGAAATAAATATAGGTACATATTCCTTCAACCAAAGGCATTCAGTATTTGGAAGCAGAAGGAAGGAAACCTGAGAAAGACCACACTGATAGCCACTATTTATTCAGCTAAATGGAATGTCACAAGGACTCTGTCACTACTCAGTGGCAGGTTCGGTCTTAGACATTGAAGATCTGAAAATTAATCAGGCAGGTGCACTTAAAGCCTGCCATAGAAGATGGACATATTAACAACAACAACAACAACAATAAAAACACACAATTAAAATTGGGACCATGCTGCAGCATAGCGGGCAAAACCACCGTGCAGTGGCCAGCATCCATATGGGTGCCAGTTCGAATCCCACCTGCTCCACTTCCAGTCCAGCTCTCTGCTATAGGCTGGGAAAGCAGTAGAGGATTGCCCGAGTCCTTGGCCCCTGCACTTGCATGAGAGATCTGGAAGAAGCTTCTGGCTCCTGGCTTCAGATCGGCCCAGCTCTGGTCATTGTGGCAACCTGGGGAGTGAACCAGCAAATGGAAGACCTCTCTTTCTCTCTGCCTCTGCCTCTCTATAACTTTGCCTTAAAAAAAAAAAAACATATATTTTTTAAAAATACACACATTAGAATCACCATGACAATACAGCACAACAGTTTAGAACACAGGCTCTGTAGTCTGTTTGCCAGGGTTCAAATCCTAACGCTTCTACCAAACGACTGTGCAACTTTGGACACTTGATTCATAACCTGTAATGCTCCTCATTCCAACTGTGTCATCTATAATATTTGTTATAGTTCCTATTTATTTAGTGACCTATCTAACTCATTGGATTGCTGTGAAGACTAAAGAGGTTCATATGTATGAAATGCTTCGAACAGGGACCAGTATTGTGGTACGGCAGGTAAAGCGGTGCCACCTGCAATGTCAGCACCCCATATGGGTGCCAGTTCGTGCCCTGGCTATTCCACTTCTGATTCTGCCCCCGACTAATGGCCTGATAAAAACAGCACAGGATGGTCCAACTGTTTGGGACTCTGCCACCCAAGCTGGGAGATCTGGATGAAGCTTTAGCCAGATCCAGAGACAGCAGCCATTGTGGCTATCTGGGAAATGAACCGATAGATGGAAATCCTCTCTTTCTCTGTCTCTCCCTCTCTGTGTAACTCTTTCAAAATAAATAAATAAATTCCTTTTAAAAATACATAGAACAATCGCTGGTGCACAAAAAATACTTAAATGTTTGCTGTTACTATTGTTCTAAGTTTTACTATTACTATTAATTATTTGAGAGGGAATCTAATCTACCTTCAGGCAAAAGGAAGAGCAAAATTTCCTTAAGAAAATAACATATATTGGGGGCCGATGCTGTGGCGCAGTGAGTTAACACCCTGACCTGAAGCGCCAGCATCCCATATGGACACCAGTTCAAGATCTGGCTGCTCCACTTCCAATCCAACTCTCTGCTATGACTTGGGAAACCAGTAGAAGATGGCCCAAGTCCTTGGGTCCCAGCACCCGAGTGGGAGACCCAGAAGAAGCTCCTGGCTCCTGTTTTGGATTGGCGCAGCTCCGGCCATTGCAGCCAACTAGGGAGTGAACCATCGGATGGAAGACACCCCCCACCCTGCCTCTCCTCTCTCTGTGTAACTGGACTTTCAAATAAATAAATAAATCTAAAAAAGAAAAGAAAAGAAAAGTACTTTGGGCCTGCTCAGTGGCGTAGCAGATAAAGCCACCAAACTGCACTGCCGGCATCCCATATGGACACCACTTCAAGATTCGGCTACTCCACTTCTGATCCAGGTCTCTGCTATGGCCTGGGAAAAGAGTAGAGGATGGCCCAAGTCCTTGGGTCCCCACACCCATATGGAAGACCCAGAGGACGCTCCTGGCTCCTGCCTTTGGATTGGTGCATCTCCAGCCATTGCGGCCACCTGAGGAGTGAACCAGCGGATGGAAGACCTTTCTCTCTCTCTCTTTCTCTCTCTCTCTCTCTCTCGGCCTCTACCCCTGCCTCTCTGTAACTCTGCCTTTCAAATAAATAAATAAATCTTAAAAAAAAAAAAAGAAAGAAAGAAAAGAACATATAAGCTAAGTCCCAAAGAGGAACACAAACTAAACATACTAAGAGAAAAGGTCTCTATCACAAGGAAGAGGATATACCAAGCCCTAAGCTAAGACTGAGCGTGGCATGTTAAGAATCTGAAAAAAAGGGAAGGTGGGGCACTGACCAGAGTAAAATGAGACTGGAAAACTAGAAAGAACATGTTAAACATCAGAGTTTTATCTTTATCTGAATAATGTAATATATTATAAAGGAAATAATATAACAGATTTGTTGTTTTTCCCTTTTTCAAAAATGATTGTGCTAAAGTGTGGAATCAGCTAGGAGGGAGGAAGGTAGCAGGAGCCTAAGGAAAATGCATAAAAATGTAGAAAGAACATTCTGGTGACAGAGAAATGAAATCAACTACAGACAAGAGAAGACTATTAGAAGAGAATAACAAGCACAGACGAGGTTAGAGCTCATGAATTAGTAATAGAACAAATTAATATGATTAAATCATTTCTTTAGGCTCTAGAGCAGGAACACACAAAAAGGGCAGCATTGTTAATCCACAGCTGGAGATCTGCGTGGCATGTGGGAAAGAACAAAGAGGCAGGAGAACTGAGGATATTTATGACTCATTGAAAATGACCAACTATGGTGTCCATATGGCATAAGGCTATGCCAGGAAAAATGTCACAAACTGAGAAACAAGGAAGATATAAGGGGTGGTAGGCCCTGGTGAAATCAGAGAATAAATTCAGCAAATGGCAGCACTAAGATGAACAAAAATTATGTTCAGAAAGTAAAACTTCTAACTTCATGATTTCAGAAGTAGAAGTCTGAATGGCCATGAAATTAAAACTGCTATAAAAGTGGAGGAACAAACAGCTAAGCCAAAAAACATCAGTCAGAATGAGATCAGAATGTTGGATGAGGAATCAACATGGACACTCAATGTACATGAATGGAAGGAGTAAACTTAAGGTCATCCATCTGCTGGTTCACCCCCCAAATGACCGTCACGGCCAGAGCTGCGCCAATCCGAAGCCAGGAGCCTCTTCCTGGTCTCCCATGCAGGTGCAGGAGCCAAGCACTTGGGCCATCCTCCACTGCCTTCCTGGGCCACAGCAGAGAGCAGGACTGGAAGAGGGGCAACCAGGACTAGAACCTGGCGCCCATAAGGGATGCTGGCACCGCAGGCGGAGGATTAACCAAGTGAGTCACAGCACTAGCCCCATCTTCCTCTTCTTCTTCTTCTTCTTCTTCTTTTTTTTTTTTTTTAAGATTTACTTATTTATTTGAAAGGCAGAGTTTAGAGAGAAAGAAAGAAAAAGACAAAGAAAAAGACAAAGCTGGAGAGATCTTCTATCCACTGGTTCATTTCTCAAATAGCTGCAATGGCTAGAGTTGGGCCAGGCCAAATCTAGGAGCCTGGAGTTCCATCTGGGTCTCCAAGATGGGTGGCAGGGGCACATTAGTGGGAAGCTGGAACAAAGCAAAGTAGCCAGTACTCAAACTGGCACTCCAATATGAGATGTCAATGTTGTAGGTGGCAGCTTAGGTCACAATGCCAGCCCCCAATGAGCATTTTTTTAAACTTGCCTTTAATTAAAAAAGAAAAAACACCAAGTAGTATACTCATGTTACATATACATTCACACGTATATAAAGTGCTATATAATGAAGTTGAACATCTTTGTATTTGATTATTATTTGTGGCCTTTTTCTATTTTCCTGCTCAACTATGGTCTTTTTACTTTTAAAAAGATAAATATGGAAGTCAGCATCATGGCATAACAGGTAAAGCCACTACCACCTGCAATGCCCACATCCTATATGGGCACCGGTTCGAGTCCCAGCTTCTCCACTTCCAATCCAGCTCTCTGCCATGGCCTGGGAAAGCAGTAGAAGATGGTCCAAGTCCTTGGGCCCCTGCACGTGTGAGACCCGGAAGAAGTTCCTGGTTCCTGTCTTCAGCCTGACCCACTCCTGGCAATTGTGGCCATTTTGGGAGTGAACCAGTAGATGGAAGATCTCTCTGGCTTTGTCTTTGTCTTTGTTTTTAACTCTCTCTGTCTCTCTTCTCTATTAACTCTGCCTTTCAAACAAATAGAATAAATCTTTTAAAAAAATAGAAACAAAAAATACAATTTAGCATGTTATCAGACTTCAAAATCATTCACTGCTACCCAGAACCAGATTTGTCAACTTTTATAACGTATATAAGGGTACCCTTTTTAAAAGACACCTTGAAGCAGAACTTCAACTAAACTTATATTCTTCCCAGAGTATAGGCAGAACAATTAGTAACTAAATGGCTTACAAATTAAGTTCTCTTGAAACATTCAAAATATTAAAGGTAAGTAATATATCTGAACTGTAATTGATTTTCAGTTGCTAAAAACCTTGGATAAAATTCAGGAATTGATCTCTAGAAAGTAATTGTTTTCCCTAGTGGTTCTTGCCCAATGCAAAATAGGATGTGGTTTGGCTTCCTGCCCTGCTCTGATAAATCCCAAGCTACTTTATTACTTTAAAAAATGAAAAAAGTGGAATGAGCATTTAGACTAGAGGCTAAGACATGCACATCCCTGAGTGCCTTGGTTCCATTCCTAGCTTTGACTCCTGATTCCAGTTTCCTGCTAAAATAGATCCTGTGAGGTTGCAGTCATGGTCCAAGTAATAGACTGAGTTCCCAGCTCCTGACTTTAACCTCTACCTATCCCAGGTCATTGGGGCATTTGGGGAGTGAATCAGCAGATGAGAGCTCTCTCTCCCTCTCTATGTTAACTTTTAAACAAATAAAGGAGGAGTAAAAACTGAATTTTTAACTTTAACTATAAACTATGTAAAAATAGCAAAATAGGATCTGGCATGACCACCTGCAACACCAACATCCCATATGAACACCAGTTCAAGTACTGGCTGCTCCATTTCCGGTTCAGTTCTCTGCTAATGTGTCTGGGAAAGCAGCGGAAAATGGCTCCCAATTATTCACCACTCAAATGAAATGGGGAATGGGGATGCCGTTCCAGCCTCCAGGCTTCGACCTGGCCCGACCCTGGCCCTTGCTGCCATCTAAGGAGGTAGAACATTCTTTCTCTCTTTTCCTCCCTCCCTATTCAAATAAATAAATAAAAATTTTTTTAAAAAAAAAGAAAGTAAAATGAAAAGTCTCAGGTGATAGCACTAAACAACATATCTTATTAATGAAGTAAATGGATTTTTCATTTTTTATGAACACCCACTGAACTTCAGAATAACCCATGAAAACAAATATTTTACCTTATACTTTATTTGATTTGAAAGCATGAAAACATACATATATCACAAAAATATTCTAAATAAAAGAGTTTAATAAAAGTGATATGTCTGGGGCCAGCGCTGTGGCTTAGTGAGAAAACTGCCGCCTGCAGTGCCAGCCTCCCATATGGGCACCAGTTCAAATCCTGGCTGCTCCACTTCTGATCCAGCTCTCTGCTATGGCCTGGGAAAGCAGTAGAAGATGGCCCAAGTCCTTGGGTCCCTGCACCCACGTGGGAGATGGGAAGAAGCTCCTGGTTCCTGGCTTTGGATCAGCAGAACTCCAGATGTTGTGGCCATTTGGGGTGTGGACAAACAGATGGAAGACTTTTCTTTCCTTTCTCTCTGCCTCTGCCCCTCTGTAACTCTGCCTTTCAAATAAATAAATCTTTAAAAAAAAAAAGTGATAATGTCTGTCAAAACTTTAAATGGCTGTTTTCACATGAATATAGTTCCTTTCTCTATTATCTTCAACTTTAAAATTAATTTTCATATATTGATTTAAATGAAATTCATTCCCCAATTTAATATTTTTACTCCTATCAATAAACTATGATTTCCAGCACCATACACCAATACACCAAAGAGTTGGGCTTCACTAGAATGTATGATTTTTCTAGATGTGGGTGACTATCACCACACATAAGTTATTTATCTTTCAAACATTATTAAAATCTGATGATTACTAAAAAACATATTGAAGATGCCCAAGGTACATGAAAAAGTAGCTGGAAGACAGTTTTTATTTGCTTGAGCTATAGATAAATAGCAAAGATTTCTCATATACATCATCAAAAGCACAATTGGTAAGAGAACAAAGTAACAAACTGGAATTCAAAATAAAAACTCTTGCTCTTCAAAAGTCATTGCTCCCTGTTAATGCACCTAGGAAAGCAGCAGCAGATGATCCAAGTGCTTGGGCCCCGGCACCCATGTGGGAAACCTGGAGGAACCTCTTGGCTCCTGGCTTCAGCCTGGGCCAGCCCTGCTTTTGCAGCCACTTGGAGAGTGAACCAGCAGATGAAAGATCTCTTCTCTATGCATTTCCTGACCCCATAACTGTACTTTCCAAATACATAAAATAAATCTCTTTTTTTTTTTTTTTTAACAAAAAAGTCACTGTTGAGAGAATATAAAGCTAAGTCACAGAATGGAAAAAAAAGACCTGGCCATTTGGGAAATGAATCAGTGGACAGAACATCTCTCTCTCTCTTGCTCTGCTTTTCAAATAAATAAATACATTTTAATGGTTCAATTTTATTGAATGCAAATTATACCACAATCAAGTTAATTAAGAATATATTAAGAAGGTATTTTGGAAAAAAAATCTATAAAATTATCATGTTTGTTCCCTAAGATGTTTATGGTATCTCCCATTACATGCTTTCAAATGTTTTGACACTCTTATAAAAAAAAATCTCAAAAAAGGCTAGAATTATCATCCCATTTTACAAATAAGAGTTGGGTAGATACACAGGGTTAACAATTAGAAGCAGCGCCGGCGCCACAGCTCACTAGGCTAATCCTCCACCTTGCGGCGCCGGCACACCGGGTTCTAGTCCCGGTCGGTCGTGGCGCCGGATTCTGTCCCGGTTGCCCCTCTTCCAGGCCAGCTCTCTGCTGTGGCCCGGGAGTGCAGTGGAGGATGGCCCAAGTGCCTGGGCCCTGCACCCCATGGGAGACCAGGATAAGTACCTGGCTCCTGCCATCGGATCAGCACAGCGCGCTGGCCGCAACAGCCATTGGAGGGTGAACCAACGGCAAAGGAAGACCTTTCTCTCTGTCTCTCTCTCTCACTGTCCACTCTGCCTGTCAAAAAATAAAAAAAAAAGGGGGGGCGGGGGGGGACAATTAGAAGCATGAACTGGGGACTTAACATTGAGAAGACTTGTCAATGGCAATAAAACAACTACATCCAACAGTCTGACGGGATAGGGATAAAATAAGTATTGGGTCCTGACCTACTTAAAAAAAAAAACTATAGATCCACACAAAAAATAATGACTATTAAAAAACATATTCTCAGGGCTAGCGCTGTGGCACAGTGGGTTAATGCCTCAGCCTGCAGGGCCAGTATCCAATATGAGTGCCAGTTCAAGTCCCAGCTGTTCCACTTCTGATCTCTCCCTTTCTGTCTGTAACCCTGCCTTCCAAATAAACAAATTTTTACAATACAAAAAGAGAAAATGCCTAAAACCAACATTATTCCTATATGTACCACACAATACCACAAATAAACAAGAAGTCCAGGAATACGGAAAACAATTACTTTTAATACAAGTGAGAAGGCGCTCAAAACCCATATATCTGATCTGAACTTAGATTTGTCATTGATTTACTCACACTTTGATTTTACTCATTCTGCCTGCTTCATTACCACATCTTTCTTTTAATAGAAATATTAATTCTGGTCCTAAATAGACCTTGAGGATACTGCAGATGTAAATAATTTATGTTAAAAGAACTGAAATGCTACAAAGTCAAGCTATACTCTCCATACAAAAGCACATAACAAAGAATACATTTTACATGTATTATTATCAAATCAAATTAATAAATACTTGGTTCTCTAGCCGGCGCCGTGGCTCAATAGGCTAATCCTCCACCTTGCGGCGCCGGCACACCGGGTTCTAGTCCCGGTTGGGGCGCCGGGTTCTAGTCCCGGTTGGGGCGCCGGATTCTGTCCCGGTTGCCCCTCTTCCAGGCCAGCTCTCTGCTATGGCCAGGGAGTGCAGTGGAGGATGGCCCAGGTGCTTGGGCCCTGCACCCCATGGGAGACCAGGAAAAGCACCTGGCTCCTGGCTCCTGGCTCCTGCCAGGATCAGCGCGGTGCGCCGGCTGCAGCGGCGGCCATTGGAGGGTGAACCAACGGCAAAGGAAGACCTTTCTCTCTCTGTCTCTCTCTCTCTCACTGTCACTCTGCCTGTCAGAAAACAAAAAAAAAAAAAAAAAAAAATACTTGGTTCTCTTTGTCAATATTTGTTTTATATCTTTGTCAAACCAAAGGTTAAAAATGCTATTTTACTGTAGTTTTAATGATCTGTGATTACTTTAAAACTTACTGCATATGGGTGAGATGGTCATCTTTCATTCAATTACTGTTGACGGCCCTTGCCTATATTCCTGCTAAATTAGGGTCGTTTTGCATTTTACTTGTTAAACTTTTGATTTGGTGGAGCATTAAACCCTTGACTGTAATGTTTATGTCTCTGTCTCTCTTCCCTCAGATAAATATATGTTTACAATGTCTTTAAAAGTCAGTCAAAAGAGATGTAAGACTTACCCTATATTAAGTACTAACTAGAAAGTACACTGTTACATATCCACTTGTTATGAACACTAAATATAAGTGGCCGTTTTTCCTACGATGGTTATTCAATGTCTTTGAAATATGATTAAGCAAAACCTAGAAAGTGCGCCGACATTTCTCCAGAGGAGAAACAATACCACTAATACATATGAGTGATTTAGTATGAAAATATGACTAGGTTATAACTAAGGTCAGTCTCTTTGGATAATCAAATGATTGACACCACATTAAGGCAAGTCAAAGAAGAATGTAACCTAGCAGAAAAAAATCAGTGATTAACGATGAATCACTGTTTCCAGTGATTATTTCACCAAAACAACAACCTGCCATATTAACACTCCCCTACAATGGCCATTGGAAGTACTTCAAAGTTATTATCCAAAAGGCTTGCACCGATATTTTGCAGGACAATGCTAAGGGATTGAAGGCAATAAAGTCTCATTTAAAAGCTATATTTGGGGAAGGCATTGTGGTGCAGCAGGTTAAGCCAGCACTTAGGACACCTGCAGCCCATATCAGAGTGCTGTTTCAAGTCCCAGCTACTCTGCTTCTAATCTAGCTTTCTGCTAATGCTTCTAGGAGGCAGCAGATAATGGCCCAAGAACTTGTGTTCCTGCCAACTTGTGGGAGGCCCAGATGAAGCTCCTTGCTCCCGCCTGGCCCAATCCTGGCTATTGTGGACATTTGGAGAATGAACCAGTGGATGGAAAATCCCTCTCTCTCTGGATGACTATAGGATACACCAGGACAGAATACATCTCACTATATTTTATTTTTCTGTAGCTTTTAAATTTTTGATCAAGGGCCAGCATTGTAGCATATCAGGTAAAACTGCCATCTGCGAGGCCAGCATCTGTATGGGCATTGGTTTGGTCTCAGCGGCTCCACTTCCCATCCAGCTCCCTGCTAATAAGCCTGGAAAAGCAGCAGAGATGGTCCAAATGGTTGGGCCTCTGCATCCACGTGGGAGGCCAAGAAGGATCTCAGTCTGGCCAGCCCAGACCATTGCAGCCATTTAGGGAGTGAACCAGCAGATGGAAGATCTCTCTGTTTCTCCCCCGACGCCAGTAACTCTGCATTTCAAATAAACAAAATAAATCTTTAAAAAGAAGAAAAATTACCCTAAATGAGAAAAATCATCTTTTCATACAACTATAAACCTAAGAAATAAGTTGAACCATTAATGAGGATGACAGTGTATCTAACAACTCATTTCCTGGGCCAGCCTATTATCACAGTTACCACCACCACCTAAAACAATGTTCCCTTACACAACCACATTCCATCAAGTAACTGGAGTTAGTTTATTTCTTCTAGTCAAGCATCCTAACTTGCTAGTTATATGTCTGTATGCTGTACATTTCCAAATCCAATATTTGTAATTCTTAAAACTTACCTGTTTTAGGGTTCTACCAAGAGCCTTTTTAAAAGGGTTCCCTGAACCCTGAACTGTAACACTTCCTACCTTCAGTGTATGTTGAGGAATCCATTCCAATGCTGACTTTCCAAATCAAAGACAGTTCTGCCTCTACCACTCAATATTCACCACCCAAGCAAATCACTAATTTGATCATCAAAGATCAGGTGGCTATAATACAAAGCATCCTCCTATTTTAAAAAGAGCTAATTTTTTCCAATCTTGCAGAAAATATTCCTCCCAAACATTCCAGAGTAACTCTTCCATAGAGGTAAGTAAATTTTACCAAGGCAACATTCTCCCAAACCTAAATTTTAAATATTGCCTTAAATATGACAAATAATACTAGAGAACAACCATTTAGCTTAGTGGTTAAGACATCCACACTCGCTCTCAGAACATATTTAACCTATCTCTTTTTCTGACTCAGTTTCCTGCTGGTGCAAACCTGGGAGGCAGTGATGATGGCTTGGATGACTGGGTTCCTGCCCCACCAATGAGACAGACCTAGACTGAGTTATTCCCAGCTCTTGGCTTTAGCCCCAGCCAGGGGCCACTGCAGACATTTGGGAATAAACCAGCAATTATGGGGGGGGGGGGGGTGTTTCTCTCTCTCTCTCTCTCTCTCTCTCTCTGTATGTGGTGTGCCTGCCTGTCAAATAAATAAAAATTCAAAATGAATAAATAATACTGGAGTAACATGACAGGTCATGAAACACGACTCAAAACAGGAGCTAAGGCTACCTTCATTCCTGATTTCCTATGGCAAGCAGGTTATTTTTGGACCAAGCTTATGAAGCAGTACTTTGTTGACTACACGCTTCATCCTCTGAATGAATATTCCTTTCACATTCAACCTTGGTCCTCGCTTTCTGGCACAGAGTTCCAAAACCTCAATGGAATACATAATGAAATGCCAGGTTATTTTAGAGCAAAAAGGTTATACCTAAAAAAGCTTTCTAACTGGAAGTCTCTTCCATGAAAGCATATAGAAATTTGCTGACTCTTCCATTGCCCTTTTCTCTTTTTCCAATAGCTATCTGCTTTCTTTGGAGCAAATCTGCAGTCAAACACAAAAGTCGATCACCTACCAAAGTTCACATACAGACAGGTGCCTTGTGAGCACAGTAACTCTCAAAAGTATCCACTCAACACGAGATAAACTACGAATAAGCTGCTTACTGGTATGCTGGTACAGTTAGCTGCCTAAAAATCTCTCAATTAAGACTAACATTGCGAAACATTTTTAAACCCAACTAAAAGAAAAGATCATTTTCTACCCATAGACACTTGCAAAACCCATGTAAGTCAACTAGTTCTGCCACATAAAAACCCTTTATTCCAGAGTTATTTTCAGTGGCACTAAATTCCAGGGTGGAGACTAAGGGTCCCAAACAAACCTATTTGAGTATTTTTCTACTTTAATAAATTCTAAAATTCATGGTTAGGCTTATTCTGGAAAAGTATAAAAGAGTTTGACAAAATCTGTTTTGTTTCATTTTAAGACTATGGGGAAGGGGGGTGAGCTAGGGTGGGCGCCATGGTGTAGTAAGTTAAGCCTCCGCCTGCAGCGCCAATATCCCATATGGGTGCTGGTTCGTGTCCTGGCTGCTCCTCTTCCAATCCAGCTCTTTGTTAATGGTCTGGGAAGGCAGTGGAAGATGGTCCAAGTGCTCAGGGCCCCTGCACCCACATGGGAGACCTGGAAGAAGCTCCTGACTCCTGACTTCTGGCTCCTGCCTCCTGATTGGCCCAGCTCCAGCCATTGTAGCCATTTGGAGTGTGAACTAGCAGATGGAAGAGATCTCTCTCTCTCTCTCTCCCTCTCCCTCTCTCTGTAACTCTTTCAAATAAAATTTAAAAAAGAAAATGGGGGGAGGTGGGGCTGGCACTATGGCGTAGCAGGTTAAGCTGCTGCCCATAGTGCCAGCACCAATACGGGCGCAGTTCAACTCCCAGCTGCTCCACTTCCAATCCAGCTCCCTGTTAATGTGCCTGGGAAAGCAGCGGAGGATGGTTCAATTGCTTGGGCCCCTGCACCCCTGTGTGATGACTTTAGGATTTCAAATGAAAGCCCCATGGCAACCACAAAGGAAACAGCTATGGAATATACACAAGGGGGCAATGAGAAAGTAATTTTAACATTTCATTATGGAACAGTCAAATGAACATAAATGAAGACAGTAACACAGGACATAAAGGACATAAAAAGCTACCACTCAGCAGAAAATAAGCAGCAAAATGATGGACACCAACCCTTCACTTTAAATGTAAGTGGCTTTAACTATCCAATCAAATATCAGATGAGGGGCCAGTGCTGTGTTGCAGCAGGTATCCCATATGGGTGCTGGTTCAAGTCCCAGCTGCTCCACTTCCAATCCAGCTCTCTGCTAATGTGCATGGGAAAGCAGCAGAGGATGGCCCATGTGCTTTGGCCCCTACATCGCCATGGGAGACCCAGAAGAAATTCTTGGTTCCCAGCTTAAGGCCGGCTCAGTTCTGGTTGTTGTGGCCATTTGGGGAATGAACCAGCACAAGGAAGAGCTCGCTCTCCTTCTCTGTCTTTCCCTTGCTCTTTCTGTGACTCTGCCTTTCAAATAAATAAATAAATAATTTTTAAAAAATGAAAGAAAAGAAACAAAAAAATGGGTAAACATAAAAACACACTTGTAACAGTTATTTAGAATGGAGAGTTTCATGGAACCATTCTAGAACATTTCAATCAAAAAAAAACCCAAGGATTTTATCATAATATGCATGTCCTGTTAGTTCCGGTCCCCAGACATTAAACTCTGTTCTAAATGTTTCTAATATAAGACCCTGACATTGCCGGCGCCGCAGCTCACTAGGCTAATCCTCCACCTAGCGGCGCCGGCACACCGGGTTCTAGTCCCGGTCAGGGCGCTGGATTCTGTCCCGGTTGCCCCTCTTCCAGGCCAGCCCTCTGCTGTGGCCAGGGAGTGCAGTGGAGGATGGCCCAAGTGCTTGGGCCCTGCACCCCATGGGAGACCAGGAGAAGTACCTGGCTCCTGCCATCGGATCAGTGTGGTGCGCCGGCCGCAGCTCACTGGCCGCGGCAGCCATTGGAGGGTGAACCAACGGCAAAGGAAGACCTTTCTCTCTGTCTCTCTCTCTCTGTCCACTCTGCCTGTCAAAAAAATAAAATAAAATAAGACCCTGACATTAGTTCTTGCATGCGAAAGACTTTACAGAAAATTCCAAGAAAATGTTCTATTTCAGAGATTAACAATGCCCATGTTTCATGGGGCTGGCACTGTGATACAGTGGGTTAAGCCCCTATCTGCAGCATCAGCATCAAATATGGGCGCTAGTTCAAGTCCTGGCTGCTCCACTTCCAATCCAGCTCCCTGTTAACACACCTAAGAAAGCTGCAGAAGATGGGTTTCCCACCCATGTGGGAAACCTGGATGAAGCTCCAATGGCCCAGCCCTTGTCACTGGGCCATTTGGGGAATGAACCAGCAGATGAAAGATCTCTCTCTGTCTCTCCTTCTCTCTCTTTGTATCTCTGACTTTCAAATAAATAAATAAATCTTTAATAAATAAGTAAATAAAATTTCTCTAATATAAGACCCTGACATTGGTTCTTGAATGAGAAAAACATTACAGAAAATTCCAAGAAAATGTTCTATTTCAGAGTTTGAGAATTCTCATGTTCAGGGCCAGCACTGTGGCATAGAGGATAAAGCTGTCGCCTGCAGTGTCAGCATCCCATATGGGCGCCAGTTCCAGTCCCAGCTGCTCCACTTCCGATCCAGCTCTCTATTGTGGCAGGGAAAGCAGCAGAAGATGGCCCAAGTCCTTAGGCCCCTGTACCCACGTGGGAGACCCAGAGGAGGCTCCCGGCTCCTGGCTTCAAATTCAGCACAGCTCCAGCCACAGTGGCCATCTGGGGAGTAAACCAGTGAATGGAAGACCTCTCTTGCTCTCTGCCTCTCTGTAATTCTGCCTTCCAAATAAATAAATCTTTAATAATTAAAAAAAAAAAGAATTCCCATGTATCACAGAGATAAGAAAGATAAACAAAAAAAAAAAGTGTTTATTCAGCAATGATACTTGACCCCATTTGGTTCATCCAATGACTCAAATACCGCATGCCACAGGAAAGTAATATGTCATGCAAACTGTGGGAACTCAAAGTCACTAAACTGAATGCTATTATAACATTTTTAAGATTTATTTATTTGAGAGGCAGAGTTACAGAGAGGGAGAGACAGAATGAGAGATCTTCGACTTGCTGGTTCACTCCCCAAAGCCTCAACAGCTGGAGCTCTGCCTATCCAAAGCCAGGAGCCAGGAGCTTCTTCCAGGACTCCCACATGGGTGCAGGGGCCCAAGCACTTGGACCATCTTCCACTGTTTTCCCAGGTCGTTAGCAGAGAGCTGGATCGGAAGTGGAGCAGTCGGGACTCCAATCAGTGTCCAGCACCTCAGGCAGAGGCTTAACCTACTACGCCACAGCGCCAGCCCCAACACTATTTTTTTAAAGACTGATTCGTTTATTTGAAAGTCAGAGTCTGGGAGAGTGGTGGACGAGAGGGGGATCTTCCATCCACTAGTTCACTCTCTCCAGATGACTGCAATGGCCAGGGCTGAGCCAGGGTGAAGCCAGAATCCAGGAGCTTCATCTTGGTTTCCCACATTGGTTGCAGGGGACCAAACACCTGGGCCACCTTCCATTGCTTTACCCAGGCCATTAGCATGGAGCTTAATCAGAAGTGGAACGGCAGGACTGGCACCCATCACTTTTAAACAATGTCTTTTCCACTATCTGATTTGATTATCAGCTGGGTACCAACTGATAAGAAGCCCTCAGTGTTTGTCATTGTTGCTAGTTGAGAGGCAGAGTTACAGACAGAGAGGGGGAGAGACAGAAGGTGTCTTCCATCCACTGGTTCACTCCCCAAATGGCTGCAATAGTTGGAGCAGGGCTGATCCAGAGACAGGACCCAGCAGATGGAAGATCTCCCTCTCTCTCTCTCTGTCCCTCTCTCAAATAAATAATTAAAAAAAAAAAAAAACCAACCTCTTCAGCAAGTAACACCCTCAAAATCACTTATACTTTGCAGGTTGACTCTCAGAATAGATATATGTTTAATCATTAAATTAAATGAATATTTCCTATGGGATAGCAAGATGTTTTACTAAGGGAGATTATAGTGCCTCCCAAACTGTGGTAGCATGTATTTCAGAATGCTTAAGGCTAGCCTTTCAAGTAGACTTTAAGTAGTGTGATACTCTAATATTTACAGCTGTACTGTATCAAAGTAAGTAAAGTCATGACAATCAATGGAATAGGCTGCATAGAAATGGACAAAAATATCAATATGGGAGGAGTATAAATTCTAAGATAGCTTTACAAATCAAGAGGGAAAAGATGAGTTATTTAAGAAATTATGTCGGATAGCCTCTCAGCCTTTTGGCTAAGATCAAGTGAAGAAATTATGTTGGGGCCAGCGCTGTGGCGCAGCAGGTATAAGCCAACGCCTGCAGTGCCAGTATCCCATATGGGTGCCAGTTCGAGTCCCAGCTGCTCCACTTCCAATCCAGTTCTCTGCTATGGTCTGGGAAAGCAGTAGAGGATGGCCCAAATGGTTGGGCCCCATACCCACGTGGGAGACCCAAAAGAAGCTCCTGGCTCCTAGTTTTGGATCAGCCCAGCTCCAGCTGTTGTGGCCATTTGGGGAGTGAACCAGCAGATGGAAGACTTCTCTCTCTCTTCTGCCTTTCCAATACATGAAGAAATCTTTAAAAAAATTATGTTAGGACAAAAAGCTAGATAGACATCCTGAGAGAAGCCTATATTCATTCATGGAATACATGTAGGACCTATCATGAAATAGACACTATGCTACACAATGAAAATAACAAGAGAAAAAAATTACTCTGCTGCCCTTGTGTGGAGCTTACAGTCAAGTGGGAAGAAGAAAGCCATTAGTAATCACAAAAATAAATGTAAAATTATGACTCCAATAAATTTCACAACTGATTCCTATCCTATTTGGTCTATACCAAAACATATTTCCTAGTAGGCAGAGATTTAGATCTAAAAACAAAACCATAAAAATACTAAAGAAGGTACAGGTAAGTATTTTGTAAGATGAGTATAAGAGGGCCGGCGCCGTGGCTCAATAGGCTAATCCTCCACCTTGCGGCGCCGGCACACCGGGTTCTAGTCCCGGTCGGTCGGGGCGCCGGATTCTGTCCCGGTTGCCCCTCTTCCAGGCCAGCTCTCTGCTGTGGCCAGGGAGTGCAGTGGAGGATGGCCCAAGTGCCTGGGCCCTGCACCCCATGGGAGACCAGGAAAAGCACCTGGATCCTGGCTCCTGCCATCGGATCAGCGCGGTGCGCCGGCTGCAGCGGCGGCCATTGGAGGGTGAACCAACGGCAAAGGAAGACCTTTCTCTCTCTGTCTGTCTCTCTCACTGTCCACTCTGCCTGTCAAAAAAAAAAAAAAAAAGATGAGTATAAGAAACCAAGAAGTCATAAAGAAAAAGCAACAGAAAAACATATTGTAAACACAAAAATGGTCACATTCTGTGTTATACACACACATATACACACACACAAAGACAAGCATAGGAAAATATATGTAATATGCTTTTTTAAAAATATTTATTGCCAGGCAGAGTTAGACAGTGAGAGAGACAGATATAGACAGTGAGAGGGAGACAGACATAAAGGTCTTCCTTCCGTTGGTTCACTCCCCAGTGGCTGCCACGGCAGGCGCTGCACGGATCCGAAGTCAGGAGCCGGGTACTTCCTCCTGGTCTGTCATGTGGGTGCAAGGCCCAAGCACTTGGGCCATCCTCCACTGCCCTCCCGGGCCACAGCAGAGAGCTGGACTGGAAGAGGAGCAACCGGGACTAGCACTCAGCGCCCCAACCGGGACTAGAACCCGGGGTGCCGGCGCCGCAGGCAGAGGATTAGCCAAGTAAGCCATGGCACTAGCCTGTAATATGCTTTAAAAGATAATTAACTTCCCTGATATTCCAAAAGCTATTACAGTTAATAAGAAAAAGCCAAAAGCCCAATAAAAGTACACAGAAAATTCTAACAAAAAAAAATCAACAAATTAAATTATGTTTAAGTGCAGTAAAAAATGACAAACTAAAATGACATCTTTTTCCCACCTGTCAGATGAACTTCCTAAAATGACAAGTTGCCAGCACGAAAGAAAACAGAAAAAGCCCTGTCATACACTTTTGAGCGAATTAGCATGGCCTTATTCAGAGAGAAATTTGGCAGCATCAAAACTTTAAGCACTCATTCATTTTTTTGATCCAGGCATTAGATTTATGGTAAATTATTCTTTACAATTACTGAGAAACTGAAGGATCTATCTTCTAAAGAAGATCCTAAGATTGCATATATCATGATGGATACATTACTTTGAGGGTTTACTCTGGGGGGGTCAGATATAATAAAACTCTTGGATTTTTTAAAATTTCAAAAAAATCTAAGACTTAAGAGTCATCCAAATAGTAAATAGTACAACAGGAAACAAACGGAATAGAGAAGAAACACTAGCGGGTCAGGGCTGTGGCTAAGTGGGCTAAGCCTAGGCTAGCGGTGCCAGAATTCCACATGAGCCAGTTTGTGTCCTGGCTGCTCCACTTCTGATCCAGCTCTGCTATGGCCTGGGAAAGCAGCAGAAGATGGCCCAAGTCCTTGGATTCCTGCACTCTCATAGGAGACCTGGAAGAAGCTCCTGGCTCCTGGCTTTGGATCTGCTCAGTTCCAGCTGTTGCAGCCATCTGGGGAGTGAACCAGAGGATGGAAGAAGATGTTTCTCTCTGTCTCTCACTCTCTCTATATGCAACTTTACCTCAAATAAATAAATAAAATCCTTTAAAAAGAAAGAAAGAAAGAAAGAAAGAAAGAAAGAAAGAAAGAAAGAAAGAAAGAAAGAAAGAAAGAAAGAAAGAAAGAAAGAAAGAAAGAAAGAAAGAAAGAAAGAAAGAAATGGGGGCTGGCACCGCAGCTCACTAGGCTAATCCTCCGCCTTGCGGTGCCGGCACACCGGGTTCTAGTCCCGGTCGGGGCGCCGGATTCTGTCCCGGTTGCCCCTCTTCCAGGCCAGCCCTCTGCTGTGGCCAGGGAGTGCAGTGGAGGATGGCCCAGGTGCTTGGGCCCTGCACCCCATGGGAGACCAGGAGAAGCACCTGGCTCCTGCCATTGGATCAGCGCAGTGCGCCGGCCGCGGCGGCCATTGAAGGGTGAACCAACGGCAAAGGAAGACCTTTCTCTCTGTCTCTCTCTCTCTCACTGTCCACTCTGCCTGTAAAAAAAAAAGAATGTGGGCAGCGCTGTGGCACAGCAGGTTAACACCCTGGCCTGAAGAGCTAGCATCCCATACGGGCGCCGGTTCGAGACCTGGCTGCTCCTCTTCCGATCCAGCTCTCTGCTATGGCCTGGGAAAGCAGTGAAGGATAGCCCAACTCCTTGGGCCCCTGAACCTGCATGGGAGACCTGGAGGAAGCTCCTGGCATCTGGCTTCGGATCGGCACGGCTCCAGTCATTGCGGCCAATTGGGGAATGAACCATCAGATGGAGGACCTCTCTCTCTACCTCTCCTCTCTCTGTGTAACTCTAACTTTCAAATAAATAAACCTTTAAAAAAATAAAAAAGAAAGAAACACTAGCACAAGTGTGCAAACTATAAGTGTACAGAAACATTAGCTGACATATATTTGTAATTTTAAAAAACCTGAAACAACTCTAAAATTTACCAACAGGATACTATTAAATAAACTATACTACCTCCATAAAACAGAATCCTCTGTAGCCATTAAAATTATCCAACTAGGGGAGGGCACTGTGGCACAGCGGGTTAAGCTATCCTTTGGGATGCCCACATCCCATATGAGCGTGCCTGGTTTGAGTCTTGAGTCTGGCTTTCACTTCTTTTTTTTTTTTTTTTTTTTAAGATTTATTTATTTACTTGAAAGTCAGAGTTACACAGAGAGAGATGAAAAAGCAGAGAGAGAGAGAGAGAGAGAGAGAGAGAGAGAAAGGTCTTCCATCCGCTGGTTCACTCCACAGTTGGCCACAACAGCCGGAGCTGGGTCGACCTGAAACCAGGAGCCAGGAGCTTCTTCTGGGTCTCCCATGCAGGCACAGGGGCCCAAGGATTTGGGCCATCTACTGCTTTCCCAGGCCATAGCAGAGAGCTGGATCGGAAGAGGAGCAGCCGGAACACAAACCAGTGCCTATATGGGACGCTGGCACTGCAGGCGGCGGCTTTACCCACCACACCACAGCACTGGCCCATCCTTCACTTCTAATCCAACTTTCTGCTAAAGCATCCTGGAAGGCAACAGTGATGGCTCAAATGCTTGGACCCCTGCAACCCACATGACAGACCAGGATGGAGTTTCTGGCTCCCAGCTCTAGCTTGGCCAGCCCTGGCTATTGCAGGCATTTGGGGAGTGAACCAATGGATGGAAGATCTTTCCCTTTCTCTCTCTCTCTCTCTCTCTCTCTCTCTGTCAAGCTGCCTTTCAAATAATGAAAATTAAGATTTATGAGAGAGAGGGAAAGACAGAGAGAAATCTTCCATCTGACGATTGGCTCCCTAAATGACTGCAACAAGGAGCACAAACTCCATCAGGTCACCCACATGGGTGGCAGGGGCCCAAGTATTTAGGCCATCTTCTACCGCCTTCCCAGGTATGTCAGCAGCAAGCTGGATCAGAAGCAAAGCAGCTGGGACTCAAACTGGCACTCAGATACAGAATGCCAGTATAGCAAGTGGAGACTTAAACAGCTGAGCCACAGGGCAGGCCACCTAAATAATTTTTTTTTTAATGTGATCTAATTTAGGACAAAATGTACTGACATGGAATAATGCTGGATATGTGTTAAATGAAAAAACAGTAGTAAACTGGATGTGTGGCATGATCACTTTTTAATAATCAACATACAATGTTAAGAATGAGAAAAATTCTGGTTATAAAATGTTAACGATACTTTTTCTGGCAAAAGGGAACTTCCACTTTCTTTGATATATATTTTATAAAGTTTAATTATTTTAAAAGACACATATGGGGCTGTTGCTGTGGCTTAGTGGGTAAAACTGCCACCTGCAGTGCCGGCATCCCCTATGGGTACCATTTCAAGTTCCAGCTGCTCCACTGCCAATCCAGCTCTCTGCTATGGCCTGGGAATGCAGTAGAAGATGGCCCAAGTCCTAGGGACCCTGCACCCACGTGGGAGACCAGGAAGAGACTCCTGGCTCCTGGCTTCAGATTGGCCCAGCTCCAGCCATTGCGGCCAACTAGGGAGTGAACCAGCAAATGGAAGACCTCTCTCTCTCTCTCTCTCTGTCTCTCTCTCTTTCTCTGCCTCTTCCTTTCTGTAACTTTTCCTTTCAAATAAATAAATAAATCTCTTTTGAAAAAAAGACCCATATATCAGATAAATAGACACATACATAGATGTTTTTAGAGTCTTTGAAGTCAGGAAAACTATATGAAAATGCAACAAAGGCACAGAATGAACACAGAGGAAAACAAACAATAGATCACATAATTTCAGAGTTTCTGCACAAATTCCTGCACAAACTCAGAAACTACAGAAGCAAAACTTTAAAATTTTGTGCCACAAACAAAACTATCAAGGAAGTGAAATGACAAACCGTGGAATGGAATAAAATAGTTGCACTCATATATGTAGCAAGGAATTCCTATGCAAAACATAAAGAACTCTTACAACACAACAATAAAGATAAATAACCCAATTTTCAAAACCAGCAAAGGATGCAGACAGACATTTTTCTGAAGGAGATATACAAATGGTTAAGTCAGCACATGAAAAGATAATTAACACCATCAGTCATTTAGGGAAATGCAAAATGCAAAACCACAATGTGATACCACTTCATATCCACTAAGATGGCTAAATTACAAAGAAAATAAGATTCGGATGTGGAGAAACTAGAACTCCCTACTTCTGCTAATGGAAAAATAAAGTGGAGCAGCCCCTCTGGAAAATACCTTGGTAGTTCCTCAAAAAGTTAAACATGTAGTTACCACATGCCCAAACAATTCCATTCCTAGATGAATACCCAAGAAAAATGAAAACATACCATTACACAAAAAATTTATACATGAAATGTTCACAAAAGCATTATTCTTAAGAGCCAAAAGGTGCAAACCACACAAATGTCAACTAGTTCATGAATGGATAAACAAAGTGTGGTATATCCACACAACAGAATATCAGTCAGTCAATAAAAAGAATGAAATTCAAACATATTCTACATCAATGAACCTTAAAAATATCATGGTAGGGGCCTGCATTGTGGCATATTAAGTAAAGCCATCACCGGTGGCACCAGCATCCCATATGGACAATAGTTCGAGTCCCAGCTGCTTCACTTCCAATCCAGCTCCCAGAAAATGAGCCTGGGAAAGAGCAGAAGATGGCCCAAGTGCCCAGGCCTACGCACCCACGTGGGAGACCTGAAAAAAGTCCCTAGCTCCTGGTTTCAGCCTGGCCCAGCCCTAGCCATTGCAGTCATTTGGGAAGTGAATGAGGGATGGTAGACATCTCCTTCCACCCCATAATTCTGCCTTTCAAATAAATAAAATAAAACTTTAAAAAAAAAAAGATATCATGCTAAATGACAAATCCAGAAGCAAAAGACCACATACTGTATGAGTCCATTTATAGGAAATGTCCGGAATAGGCAAATCTATACAAAGATTTACTAGTGGTTGCTGAAGGATGGGGGAGAGAGGTTGAAGAAATGAGCTTGGGTATAGCATTTCTTCTTTTCCTGTTTGTTTTTGTTTTTGAGAGACAGAGAAACACAGACTGACAGCTCCAATCCACAACAGTCAGGGCTGGGCCAAGGACAAAGCTGGGGGCCAGGAACTCAATCCAGGTCTCCCACTTGGATTGGCAGGGACCCAGTTATTTGAGCCATCACCTGGTACTTCCCAGAGTTCACATTAGCAGGAAGCTGGAATCAGAAACCAGAGGCAGACATCAAACCCAGGCACTCTAATATGGGACGCATATGTCTCAATCAGTGATCAAACTTAACCACTAGCCAAACACCTACCCCTAGTGTTTCTTTCAAGAGGAACAAAAACATTCTAAAATTTATTGCATTGTACTTGCATAACTCCAAATATACTAAAGCAAAAATTAAATAAGGTGAATTACATGGTTTATGAACTGTACCTCAATAAAGCAGTTGAAACGCAAATAAATAAAAAAAGAAACTGGAAGCTCCATGAGGTTAAGTGATTTACACAAAGGCAAACTGCTCAGCTGTAAAAACTGGAACTAGAAACACATCCCCTGACTCCTAAACAGTGCTTAGTCATTACTACAGATTGTATCAGACAGCTGGGTTGGACCAAAAAGGTTCACCAGAGAGCTAGAAAAGCAAAAAAAAAAAAAAAAAAAAAAAAAAAACCCTAGCAAAAGCATTAAGAAAAGGAGGAAATATTTAGGTAGCATCACTGAAATGCAGTTTTTAAAATTTAATGTGACTCCAAAATGGATTCTTAGCCTAAATGTCTAACAACCACCAAAATGCTATAAGAGGCTGTGACTCAGTATTAACAGTGCCCCCTTTTACTAAGAGCTCAATAAGAGCAGGGCACTGGATGCAGCTGTTGACTCAATAGGAACCAGGAAAAAGAGATCCGAAGAGGCAGCAGTCTGAAATCACATGCTACTCGCCTGCATATGTCAAAGGCCAATGAGTAACATGCTTCAAACAAGTCATTTTATCCCTTAAGATTGTAAAATCCTTTAAAGAGATTCAAAAGTTCTACCCCAACATTTAATTATGTCCTAGGTTTACTAAACACATATAAGATGTCTAAGTATAATATACAAAAGTGGTGCTTCTGCAGCTGCCTTGAGCACAAAGATCATTACCAGAATACAACTACCCCATTTGACTAGAATAACAATATCACTGTTGATGTAGAAATGGAAAGTAAGCCAAGAACACGCAATCACTAAAAACATTATTGTGAGGGTTAAAAAAAATGAGCTACTAAAAAACCTCATCTATTGTCAGAACATTGCTTATGCAACATTAGAACATTCTGACAGAAGGAAAGGACAACAGGAGGCAGGAAGCAGAAAAAGAGAAGAAATCCTGCAGGTGCCCAACGAACCCTAATAAGAAACACACAGCTCTGCTTCTGCCTTCCACAATAAAAACAATTCTGTTTCTCGTGGCATGTGAACCAAGATTTCTTCTGCCAGAAACAGAAAACAACTTACTACATGAAAATGTCAGCTTGTTCCACAGAACAATATACTGGCAGTGAACAGACATAAGCCTTTTAAACTAGAGTTTGGGCTGCTTCCTCACCAAGTTTTAACATCACTGGCCCATTATCAAATTCAGTTCGGCGCATGCAAACTCTAACAAAAGTGACAAAAATACTACCCTGAAGTAAACATAACAAATAATAAAAACTCCCACAAAATATCTTGTTCTCAAATTTCTAACCACTTTGGCTTATTTGTCATTTTGAATTAACGCAGCAGCTTCCGTCACCCACCTCCGCTGAAGTAACCTGCCAAAATAATCAATGCTTCCCCTTCTCTCTATAAAACAACTTATGCCCCAAACATGAAGACTGGTCCCAACTAATAGCTACTGTCTCTTTTTTTTAAAAAAAGATTTATTTATTTATTTGAAAGTCAGAGTTACACAGAGAGAGGAGAGGCAGAGAGAGAGAGAGAGAGAGAGAGAGAAAGAGAGGTCCTCCTCTGGTTCAGTCCCCAGTTGGCCACAATGGCTGGAGCTGCGCCGATCCAATGCCAGGAGCCAGGAGCTTCCTTTGGGTGCTTCCACGCGGGTGCAGGTCTGCTTTCCCAGGGCATAGCAGAGAGCTGGATTGGAAGTGGAGCAGCAGGGACTCCAACCAGCACCCATATGGGATGCCAGCACCTCAGGCGGCGGCTTTACCCACTACGCCACATCGCCGGCCCCAGCTACTATCTCTTATTCCTGGAAATTTCTGTTCCCATTACTATGTTGCATGCTTAATTATTTTTTCACAAATCTACTGAGACTAGTTGCTCTTACTATACCACTTACATAATTAAACATCATGTAAACTAGTGAAAGAAAGAAAAGAAAGGCATGTTTCCATGAAAACTAAGTTGAATGATCAAAAAAACTTGGTAAATCAGATTAGCTGTGGATGAGACAATTGTAAAGGATTGAGGGAATAGGGATCATAGAAATCAAGAAGGATTTGGAATTCACATTGCTTCAAAATGCCTTTAAATTCCTCTTTTGATTTACAAAAAGGCAGAGTGATAGAAAAAGGCAGATATAGAGAGAAAGAGATCTTCCATCCACTGGTTGACTCTCCAAAGGGCAACAACCAGGCAAAGCCAGGAGCCAGGAACTCTCTCCGGGTCTCCCAACTGGGTAGTAGGGGCTCAGGTAGTTGGGGCCATCTTCCTCTGCTTTCCCAGGCACATTAGCAGGAAGCAGAATCTGAAGCGGAGGAGCCAGGACTGAAACTGGAGCTCTCATATGGGATGCTGGCATCATGCATAGCGGCTCAACCTGCTGTGCCACAATACCAGTCCCCTCTTCAGCTTTAAAAAAGGCAAACCAAAACGGGAAATTATAAGTTGGTGAAGGAATTCCAGTCAAAGCATACAAAGAAATGGCCAATGTGCTTCCTCAACAAATTTGAAAGAGAAAGAAGGCAAAGCCTGTAGTTTGAAAACAAACACATTTAAACCAAAAAAAAAAAAAAAAAAAAAAAAAAAAATTCACTTGAGGCAGCAGTTACAATGCATGGACTTTAGACTCTAATTCAAATAATTAAATGATTAAAGTATGACAATGGGGAAAGTTTAACACTGACTTGACATTTAATGATATTAATAAATTACTGTTAAATGCTTTAGGTAAAATAATGGTACTGTGGCTATGTTTCTTTGAAAACGAATTCTCATCTATTTAAAGATACATCCGAAATATGTACAATGAAATGGCAGTATTTCAGGATTTGCTTCAAAATCCAGGAAGAAAGGGGAAGCACAAGAAAGTACACAGATGCAAGACTGGCCATTAGTTGATAACTTTTTGAGCTGGAACAGGTTGACAGGGCTCATTATACTATTCTTTCTCCTTCTGTTAATGTTTGAAATTTTCCATAAGCAACACTTTAAAAAGATTAGTACATGTGGCTGGCGCTGTGGTGCAGCAGGTAAAGCCACTGCCTGCAGTGCCAGCACCCCATGTGTGCGCCCATTCAGGTCCCGGATGCTCCACTTCCGATCCAGTTCTCTGCTACAGCCTGGTAAAGCAGAAGAGGATGGCCCAAGCTCTTGGGCCCCTGCACCGGCGTAGGAGACCCGGAAGAGACTCCTGGCTCCTGGCTTCAGATCAGCGCAGCTCTGGCTGAACCAGCGGATGGAAGACCTCTCTCTCTCTCTGCCTCTCCTTTTCTCTGAGTGTAACTCTTTCAAATAAATAAATAAACCTTTAAACAAAAAAAAAAATTGATGCTTACCAATAGTTCTTAATGATGAAAAAGTGCTTATGATAATTGGAGTGGGGGACAAAATAGTGTAATCTTATCTCAATTATTTAAAAATACAAAGGTAGACAACTATTGCTTCTGAATGGCAGGATTATAAATGGGTTTTCCTTCTGCTTTTTGTTTTGTATTGTTTTAAAAGATTTATTTATTTATGGGGCCAGCACTGTGGCGCAGTGGGTTAATGCCCTGGCCTGAAGAGCCAGCATCCTTTATGGGCGCCAGTTCGAGACCCAGCTGCTCCACTTCTGATCCAGATCTCTGCTACGGCCTGGGAAAGCAGTAGAAGATAGCCCAAGTCCTGGGGCCCCTGCACCCATATGGGGGACTCCGAAGAAGCTCCTGGCTCCCAGCTTCGGATCAGCACAGCTCCAGCCGTTGCAGCCAATTGGGGAGTGAACCATCAGATGGAAGACACCTCTCTCTCTCTCTCTCTCTCTCTCTCTCTCTTTCTCTCTCTACCTCTCCTCTCTCTGTGTAACTCTGACTTTCAAATAGATCTTTAAATAAATAAATAAAAGATTTAAATTTATTTGAAAGAGTTAGAGAGAGGGAGAGATAGAGATCAATCTTCCATCTGCTGGTTCATTCCCCAGATGGTTGCAATAACCATGGATGGGCCAGGCCAAAGCCAGTAGCTTCTTCCACATCTGCCACATGGGGTGCAAGGGCCCAAAACACTTGGGCCATTTTCTGCTGCTTTCCCAGGTGCAGTAGAGGGAGCTGGATCAGAAGTGGAGCAGCTATGAACCAAATCAGTGAGCATATAGGACGCCAGCGCTGAAGCGGCAGCTTAACCAACTAGAGCACAGCGCCAGCCCCTCAGCTGCCCTTTTAACTCAACCCTCTGGCTACCCTGAGAATAAAATCTGTCTTCTTGTCTTTCAGTGCCAGTTATTGCCATGTTTTGCATACACATGACACAACAAATACTAACTGAATTACCCTTTAATGTTAAGGACCAAAGTAAACCACCAAAATTAAGGGCCAGTGTCAGGGAAGTTTCTTTGGTGGGCTGCCTTTCATTTTGTTCTGTTTTGTTTGTTAAATTAAATCACTTGGTATAAAGAAGGGAACAAGTAACTCAACAAATAGTCTGCAGTTATTTCAGGAAGTGCCAGCAGCCCAAGACAGTCTGATAAGTCACCAAATTAAGAGAGGATCCAAAAGAAGGGGCCATCAAAGAAGGATGTACTTCCATCTGAAGGAGAGAAGTTCCACTTTGCTAACGACCCTGTCTAAATACTGATGGAGACTGTGGACTCAAAAGGCTTCCATAGCCTGGGCAGCTCATGACAAGAGCCTCAGATGATCACTGACATCATAAATGAGTGTCAACTGTTAAATCAACAACAGGAGTCACTGTGCACTTACTCCCCATGTCCTTAATGAGTTGAACTATGAGAACTAACTATAAAACTTGTTTCCAAACAGTACTTTATACTGTGTGTCTGTGTGGGTGCAAATTGTGGAAATCTTTACTTAGAGTTGGTCTTCTGTATATAAAGTTAATTAAAAACGAATCTTAATGAAGAATGGGATAGGAGAGGGAGTAGGAGGTGGGATAGGAGTAGGGGTGGGAGGGTGGCTATGGGGGGAAGAACCACTACATTCCTAAAGCTGTACCTATGAAATTTGTATTCATTAAATAAAAGCTTTCTTAATTTTTTTTTAAATAAAGACAGTTCAAAGTTAAAAAAAAAGAGAGAGAGAGGGCCGGCACCGTGGCTCAACAGGCTAATCCTCTGCCTTGCGGCGCCGGCACACCGGGTTCTAGTCCAGGTCGGGGCACCAGATTCTGTCCCGGTTGCCCCTTCTGCCAGGCCAGCTCTCTGCTGTGGCCCAGGAGTGCAGTGGAGGATGGCCCAAGTACTTGGGCCCTGCACCCCATGGGAGACCAGAAGCACCTGGCTCCTGCCTTATTGGAGGGTGAACCAACGGCAAAGGAAGACCCTTCTCTGTCTCTCTCTCTCACAGTCCACTTTGCCTGTCCAAAAAAAAAAAAAAAGAGAGAGAGAGAGAGAGAGAGGATTCAAGGCAAAAGGGGAAAAAAATTACAGGCTCTGACAGGGTGATCATGTCTGTGGAGCTATCCCACAGAAGTAACCCGCTTGGAAATATGAAAGAAGCTCCCATTTAAAGTAAGGAACTTGGGGACTGGTGCTGTGGCTTAGGAGTCTAAGCTTCTGCCTGTGGGGCCAGCATCCCCTGTGGGCACCAGTTTAAGTCCCAGCTGCTCTACTTCCAATCTAGCTCCCTGCTGATGGCCTGGGAAAGCAGTGGAAGATGCCTCAAGTGCTAGTGCCCCTACACCACATGGGAGACCTAGAAGAAGCTCCTTGTTCTTAGCTTCGGATAGGCCCAGCTCAGCCATTGCAGTCATTTGGGGATTGAACCAGCAGATATAAGACCTTTCTCTCTGTCTCTCCCTCTCTCTGTCTATAACTCTATCTCTTAAATAAATAAAATCTTTTTAAAAATGAAAATAAAAAAATAAAGTAAGGAACTTGAATTTAGGGCCAGTGTTGTGGTGCAGCAGGCTACGCTGCCACCTGCACTACTGGCATCCCAGTTCCAGTCCCAATTTCCAGTCCACTATGATCCAGCTCCCTGCTAATGCTCTGGGAAGGCAATGGGAGATGGCCCAGTCATCCACATTGGAGACCTAGATGGAGTTCCTATCTCCTGGCTTTGGCTTGGCCCAGCCTTAGCCATTACAGCCATTTGGGGAATAAACCAGCAAATGGAAGATCTCTCCCTCCCCCTCTCTCCCTCTCTCTGTCTCTCTCTGCATTTCAAATAAAAAAAAAAAAAAAAAAAAAAAACACTTTAAATTGCAGGATATAACACACTGAACTTCCTAATAATAAAAGTTTGAGATATGCCAAAAATTACTTGCTCAGATATGTGAAATCTCCTTACTCAGAGAAAATTGTGAGAACAGAGTAGAAAATTACTTTTCTTTAATATCTTAACAAGAGATAAATTCTAATAAGCAAAATCTGAGATGTATTAAGTGTAGAAAAATAAACAGCTTTTTTTATTTTCTATATATTCATTCACTCCAAGATTACGTACAAACATCATACTAAGCACTGGGACTGGGAATATAGGTATAGCAAACAATAGATTAAAATCCCTGCCCTCAGAGTTTACATTAAATTATCACAGTGTGCCATCCTATATCATGAAATGTAAGTTTGATTTTTTTAAGTGAAATGATTTTTAGAAATTTCAAACATATCAAATTCAATAAAATAAACAGAATGTAGTGCATGGGCTGACCCAGAGAAGCCCTTAATAAATGTTTGTGAAACAAAATTAAGAAATTGTGTAGCTGAGCTATTAGGAGGGCACAAAGACTTCACTGGATACTCCTTCACACCTTCTAAGTTTTGTGCCGTATTCCATCTATTTCTATTTCTTGTTTAAGAGGCAGAGATGGGAACAGAGAGCTCAAATCATTATTTCACTCCTCAAACGCCCACAACAGCCATGGAGACCAAACCCTGGACCCAGATACCCAATCCAGGTTTCCCGTAGGGTGGCAAAGACTCAATCACCTGACCCATCACCACTGCCCAGGTTCCGTACTGGCAGGAAGCCGGAGTTAGGAGGCAAAGCTGGGTATCAACCTAGGTAGTCTGATGTGGGACATGGGCATCCCTGCCAGCATCTCAACCACAAAGCCAAATGTCCCATATCTATTTTTATAAATAATTTTTTTTGACAGGCAGAGTGGACAGGGAGAGAGAGAGACAGAGAGAAAGGTCTTCCTTTTGCTGTTGGTTCACCCTCCAATGGCCGCTGCAGCCAGCGCGCTGCAGCCAGCGCACCGTGCTGATCCGATGGCAGGAGCCAGGTGCTTCTCCTGGTCTCCCATGGGGTGCAGGGCCCAAGCACTTGGGCCATCCTCCACTGCACTCCCTGGCCACAGCAGAGAGCTGGCCTGGAAGAGGGGCAACCGGGACAGAATCTGGTGCCCCAACCGGGACTAGAACCTGGTGTGCTGGTGCCACAAGGCGGAGGATTAGCCTAGTGAGTCGCAGCGCCGGCCTATAAATAATTTTTTAAAAGCTTATTGGATGGGGGCCGGCGCTGTGGTGTAGCAGGTAACACTGCCACCTGAAGTGCTGACATCCCATGTGGGCACCAGTTTGAGTTCCGGCTGCTCCACTTCTAATCCAGCTCTCTGCTGTGGCCTGGGAAATCAGTGGAAGATGGACCAAGTCCTTGGGCCCCTGTACCCGCGTAGGAGACCTGCAAGAAGCTCCTGGCTTCAGATCGGCCCAGCTCTGGCCACTGTGACCATTTGGGGAGTGAACCACCAGATGGAAGACCTCTACTTCTACCTCTACCTCTGCTTCTGTGTAATTCTTTCAAATAAAGAAATAAATCTCCTTCTCTCTCTCTGCCTCTCCTTCTCTCTATGTAACTCTTTCAAATAAATAAGTAAATTTTTTAAAAAGGCAGGGGAAGGGAAGGCGGTATGGTGGTGTAGCAGTAAAACCACTGCCTGCAGTGCAGGCATCCCATATGGGTGCCAGTTCAAGACCCGGATGTTCCACTTCTGATCCAGATCTCTGCTATGGCCTGGGAAAGCAGTAGAAGATGGCCCAAGGCCATATGGGAGAACTGGAAGAAGCTTTTGGCTCCTGGCTTCAGATCAGAACAGCTCCAGCCGTTGCAGCCAATTGGGCAGTGAACCTCTCTCTCTCTCTCTGACTCTCCTCTCTCTGTGTAACTCTGACTTTCAAATAAATAAATAAATCTTTTTTTCTTAATTTATTTATTTATTTTTTTGACAGGCAGAGTGGACAGTGACAGAGAGAGAGAGACAGAGAGAAAGGTCTTCCTTTTGCCGTTGGTTCACCCTCCAATGGCCACTGCGGCCGGCACGCTGCTGCCGGCGCATCGCGCTGATCCGAAGGCAGGAGCCAGGTGCTTATCCTGGTCTCCCATGCAGGTGCAGGGCCCAAGCACTTGGGCCATCCTCCACTGCACTCCCTGGCCACAGCAGAGAGCTGGCCTGGAAGAGGGGCAACCCGGACAGAATCCGGCACCCCGACCGGGACTAGAACCCGGTGTGCCGGCACCGCAAGGCGGAGGATTAGCCTGGTGAGCCGCGGCGCCGGCCTAATTTTTTTTTTTATAATAAATCTTTTTAAAAAAAAAAAAAGAAAGAAATCTCCAAAAAAAAAACTTATTGGATGGACAGACAGAGAGATAGCTGGAATGGATAAAAATTTTCTTCTCCACAAATATTTAGTCTCAAGAAATGTGTGGTTAGCTAACCTACATTTTCACATGCAGTTCTTCTGGGGAAAGCGCTAAGAAGGAAAGCATACTGTAGGTAAGCATGTGCTGGAGAAGAAACTAGGCAAAAATGTCACGATTTCTCAGAGGTTCCTAATCAAAACCTAAAATAACTAGTCACAAGTATGCAATTGAGTAAGGCCAGCCCACAGAGACAAGCTTAAGCAGCCAATAGGTCTGCTTCTCCTTTCTTTTCAGTTTCTGGGAAATGTGGCTACGTATTCACAATGTGATACCTAGTCCTTTGGAAAGCCTAACTCTGAGATGGAAGTATTTCTCAGTGGCCACAGAATCCATGTCTACTGTGAATCACATACCTGCCAAACAGAAACATGTTCCTAACATAACTTCATGATGGCTCATTCAACAGTTTTGGACTAGCCGATGGGATTCTATTCTTAACGGTCTTTCAAATTAATGTGGCCAAGACTGCTGAGGCTTCTCAAAGACATTAAGCCATTTACTTAGCTATGATTTATTACATTAGGACAAAAGCCCATGAGAATGCATATGATTTTCATCCTTTGAATATTATCGGTCAACTGCAAGACAATAGGACTATACTATTATGCCAGTAAGGTACCAAGCTACTCCCTAATAGGAGGATCCAGGGACTCACTTGATAGGGGAGGTCATTTATCTGGGGGAGGGGTGCAGTTCTCAGACCAGAAATTTGAACCAAATTTATAGGAACCCTAAATAAATGATTCTCTTGGTCCTCATCTGTGTTCAAGGTATATATCTAGGTATCCAGTTCTCTTAACAAGTTATAAGATGGTACCATCCCTGGAAACTGGTAGTGATCTGGTAAGTGAAAAGCCCACCTAAGAAAGGTACCTTCAAATGTAGATCAGACCAAGCCAACAGAGCAAAAATATTAATCACCCATATTCCCTGGGAGTGAGTTGGATATACCGACATAAGAAAATTATATAAGGTAGACTATTTTAATGGTCCCTGCATTTGGTTTATTGCATCTCCTTTTTTACTTACTTTGTATCTCACTCCTGTTAAGGGAGCACCAAGGGGAATTTGAGTAGGAAATTTAAAAACAAAGCAGTGGTAGGTAAGTGACACAATGCTAAAGGACAAGTAAAATACAGTGTTGATATATTTACTCTTCTTTCCTACTTATGCATGTCTCCTCTCACTATGGCATCTCACTTGTGGAGTCTGTTTTAATAGAAAGGATATAAATATTTCACACTTTAATTGGTAGGAGTATCTTGTTTCTCTAATAAAAGAGCAGGGTTCAGAGGGCAAGAGCAATGTTTTCTATGACTGGAGGAATCAAGGTAGAATCAACTAGGAGTACAGATGCATAGATTCTTTTTTAAAAAAAAGATTTATTTATTTTTGAAAGTCAGAGTTACACAGAGAGGAGGAGAGGCAGAGAGAGAGAGAGGTCTTCCATCCACTGGTTCACTCCCCAGATGGTTGCAAAGGCTGGAGCTGCACCGATCCAAAGCCAGGAGCCAGGAACTTCTGGGTCCTCAACACGGGTGCAGGGGTCCAAGGCCTTGGGCCATCCTCCACTGCTTTACCAGGTCAAAGCAGAGAGCTGGTCCAGAAGAGGAGCAGCCGGGTCTCGAATCGGCACCCATATGGTATGCCGGTACTTCAGGCCAGGGCATTAACCCACTGCACCACAAAGCCAGCCCAAATCGCTAGGTTTTTTGTTTTGTTTTTTTTTTTGTTGTTGTTGTTGTTGTTGACAGGCAGAGTGGACAGTGAGAGAGAGAGAGAGACAGAGAGAAAGGTCTTCCTTTGCCGTTGGTTCACCCTCCAATGGCCACCGCGGCCGGTGTGCTGCGGCCGGCGCACCACGCTGATCTGATGGCAGGAGCCAGGTTCTTATCCTGGTCTCCCATGGGGTGCAGGGCCCAAGCTCTTGGGCCATCTCCACTGCACTCCCAGACCACAGCAGAGAGCTGGCCTGGAAGAGGGGCAACCGGGACAGAATCCGGCGCCCCGACCGGGACTAGAACCCGGTGTGCCGGCACCGCAAGGCGGAGGATTAGCCTAGTGAGCCGCGGCACTGGTCCAGATGCCTAGATTCTAATTTCAGCTACCCCACTAGCTAGAGGACTCTGGGAAAATGAGGGTGTGGGGAGACATACAAGAAAACCATGAATCTGGTAGATAATTGCTCTAAAAAACTTCAATGGTCCCTTAAAACCTGAGAGTCTAAATTTTATAAAATTCACATTTCCAAACTCTAGAAAAGAGTTGGAACAGAACATCTCTATTTCTATACTGTGCAGAATAAATCAATAAATATTTGTTGGTTGATCATGTTTAATTTATGTGCAAAATGTATGGCATTCTCTTTATCCTGTTAAAATCGAACACCTCCCTTCTCAAGATATCTAACAGAACAAGTTCTCTTGCTCTGTATCATAAAACAATCAGCCTGAATTTTTTTCGTTTTATTTACTTCTTTGAAAGAGAGAGAGAACAGAGAGAATTTCTATCCACTGGTTCAC